AAGCTTTTAGCCAAACTTAATCAATATTAATATTTAATTATCCCTTTACTTGAGTGCACGTTGTTGTAATATGAACCTCCCATGTCGTGCAAACCATGCACCAATTCATCTAAACAGTAAAGGGCCTCTTTCCAACGATATAAATAGAAGCAAACGAGGTTTCGAATTACAACACCTTTAAAAACCAATCATTAATTTTCACAGAAACAAGACAAACTCGAGTTTCCAGAAAATGTCGAGAACATATGCAACTACATTAGCTTTAGCTTGCATTTTTGCCGCCTTGACGGGGTTGTGCAACGGTGCGACTGGTGGAGCATTACAGGTAGGTTTTTATCAAGGAAAATGTCATTCAGCTGATGTGGAGGCGATTGTCGGTGGTGTTATTAGAGCACGATTCTCAAGGGATCCTACCATTGTTGCTGCTCTCCTCCGCATGCAGTTTCATGACTGTTTTGTCAATGTAAGAATATTTAACCCATGTTTGACTCTATTTCTTAAAATTAATTTTCTCTTCAAACTCATTTTCCACCATACATTTTGTGGGATTCACAACATTTCAACTATACATTTCAAAAAATTTTATCAAAATTTACTAAAAGTCTAATTTTTTATTTTTTTTTCAAACCAAATAGAGGCCTAATGTAAGGGCATGTTTGAACTCCATTTTAATTGAAAAATGTATTTTGGAATAGTAGATTGATGAATAATGTGCAGTTAGGAAATAATGAAAAATTTTGAGTTTGCGTGTAATATTATTTCATTGGAGAATGTGTGATTGAAAAGAAGAGAGACAAAAATATATTTTTGAAATAATGGGAGATCAAATAAGGCCTTAATATTTGGAGTATTTTATATTAAAAGACCAAAGTTTTTTTTTAAAAAAAAAATTTGTTAGGGTTTTTTATATTAATTTGTAACAAATTCAAATTAAGTATAAGAGAATTGAGGTTGTTCATATGAACTGTAAGTTTGTAACCTTAATCACTTGAAATTAATGATACAATTAGGGGTGTGATGCATCAATCCTACTGGATGGAAATAACACAGAGAAAACCGCTATCCCTAATCTTAGTGTTCGAGGCTATGAAATAATTGATGCAGCCAAAGCTGCTGTGGAAGCAATCTGCCCAGGAGTGGTTTCTTGTGCTGATATCATTGTTATGTCCACTAGAGATGCTGTTGGCCTGGTAAAAAAATTACTTATTTTGACGATAATTTGAAAAATAAGTTACTTATTTGTGTGCATGAACATATAGAGTGGAGGGGAACGATATAGT